AACTATACGACGCAGCTTTTCTTCCTCTTTCTAGCAGTCATACTCTCATGTCGCTTGCTCTTGTGATCAGTGAGATAATGTCTGAAATTTCGAACCCATGGATTTCACGGTGTCCAACTTTGGCAATTTTTCACGATCTTCTATTTTGACTTTTGGAAAAGCTTCAATAGCATTCAGATAGAGTAAACAAAGTGCAATCTAATGAAATCTTTTGGCAACTTCAACTGGCTTCTTAGTATTTTTTGAGATAATTTTTCCAGAAGTCTTCACTTTTTCGAAGTCACAAAAAACAAAAACGCTCCGAACATTAACAAATCTTCGGATTTCGACACTTTCAAAACTCGTTTATGATTGTCCACTATTTTTACAAAGTAACTCAGTGTTTATCGCTTTGAAAAATAAGACTTCGCTTTTCGCGTGTACACCCTTAGGCGGGTTCAAATTCAAGAATTATGGAAATTTTATCGTTAAAAACTCCCACAAATTGGGAAGAAAATTACTCAGTAGAAAGAAGAGGAAAAGCTGCATCGAATGACACCTTAGTTGTGCGCTCTTTTATGTTCTATGATTCTTGGCATCACCAAAAGTGGAATTTGATAGCATCAGGAAAAAATTCCAAAGAATTTTTAAGGCTAACTATAGGCGCCGAAAAATTGCATTGAATCCCACTTTGTTTGCTTTATCTGACTGCTATCAAAGCTTCTCCAAAAGTCAAGAAAGAAGATCGTGAAAAATTGCCAAAGTTGGATACCGCGAAAACCATGGGTTTGAAATTTCAGACATTATCTCAGTGATCACAAGGGTAACCGACATGGGAATATGACAGGTAGAAAGAGGAAGGAACGCTGCGTCGGATAGTGCTTGAAGCGTTTTCCTAACTTCATTGCTCGTGTTTTTATGATAGGTTGAAAAAACGGAAAGAACTTTCGGAACGACCTAATATATATGTAAATAAAAAATATCCAGACGAGTACGTTCCAAGTTCCAACGTCAAATTTACCTTCAACATAGAGTAAAAAATTTCTTTTTTATTTTCATTTGTACCGCAGCAGCTAATCAGTTTTGATGATGAGCTATAAACTAGAGTGATACATTTTCGATTCTTCGCGCAACATCTAGAGTTTTATTGAAATCTTTTTCAAGGACTCATAGCGGTCAAGATGTCTTCATCATTTCAAGGTTGTGAGAGTGATCACTTGTACAGCCTACCGTATACACGTCATTCGGAATCTGAATACCTAAAAATTGATGATGAGTGCTAAATGAAATAGAAACAGGAAGATTGCTGAAAACGTTGGGTAATGCTTTTTTCAAAAGAAACAATTACGCCGTATAAATGTTTGTAACTTTCAGTATATTTTGCAGTTTATTGCTTAATTATTTGCCCACTCTAACGACTGACTTCAAATTGGATAAATGATGCGAGGGGGAGGGGGACATCACAATGTACAGCATCACTCCTTCGAGTGGAGTCGAGCTGTTGGAATGTTGTTCTCAGAGTGAGCGGGTTTTTGTTTTACCAGAGTAATTCTTTCGAAATCTATTTTTTTGTTGTTCTGTACATTTGCTGAAATCTTCATAACTAATAGAGCTAGCATAATAAAATTGCACACGGCGCAGTAAAACTCATGACTGTAGGTTGTTTTGTTCACTTTTAAAAAAAAACTTTGTGATACAAGTACTAAGAGGCGCTGTAGTACTCTTAGAAGCCTAGAAAGTCAGATATAAACAGTTGCTCTCATAAGTCTATAATGGAAGACCTGGTTTCCGGAATAGCTAATGCTGGACATAGCTGAAAGAACAGTATGTTGTTTACAAAAATACAGCTTGAAAATAAACAAATATTTAAAAGCTTTCTCATCAAACCCATTGCTTTTTGTTGTTGAGATTATTGCTTGCTGTATACTCATAGCCATCACTTCTCTAATTCAAAAACACGTAAAGATTTTGCTCTTGCGCAAATTAGGCCTTAGGGAGAAAGCATATCTAGATTATTTGGTCGGTATGAATAATTACATTGTTGACATCAGTCATAACAGTACGTTCTAACTACTGCAAAGTATGCAAAAATAATGCGCTTCGTCTCGCAAAAAACTTAATAAAAACTGAAAAGAATGCAGTAACGCCTCCTCATAGTTTACAATCATTTCGCGTTCTCATTTCAGGTCAAAGCAAAGCAATGCTATAAAAACCCATGATGATCACCAGCACACATCCAGCATCATGTTTGAAGAGAAACTCGTCATCGGTGTAGCTTCGACCTGCTCCACCCTAGCGATCGTCGCCTGTTTGATCGTCGTACCTTCGCTGTACAACACGATCAACGAGATCCATGACGAGGTTCTCGATGGCGTCGCCGTGTTCCGTGTAGAGACCGACTCCGCATGGGCCCAAATGATGGATTTCCAAGTCACTGTTGCTCCACCAACCAAGCCTCGTGAGAACCCCTTCAACTCCATCTTCCGTTCAAAGAAGCAGGCCCTTCCATCATACTGCCAGTGCACAACTCCCACCGTCAACTGCCCACCAGGACCTCCGGGACCACCAGGACAGCCAGGACAGCCCGGTACGTTGTTTAAGAGATTCATTTCTTGGTATCACGAATCTATGGTGCTAATATTTTAGGACAACCCGGAAACCCAGGACCACCAGGACCAGACAACACCGTCACATACGCTCCCATCAGATGCCCAGGATCAAACACTGGATGCATCACCTGCCCACCAGGACCACCAGGACCACCTGGACCAGATGGACAGCCTGGACAGCCCGGACCTGCTGGACAGCCAGGAAACCCCGGAGGCCCAGGAAACGATGGTCAACCTGGACCAGTTGGACCACCTGGAGATGCTGGAGCACCAGGAAACCCAGGACAAGACGGACAGCCAGGAAACCCAGGACAAGACGGAACCAGTGGATCAGGAACTCCCGGAGGCCCAGGACCAGCTGGACCACAGGGATCACCAGGACAAAATGGAGGCCCAGGACAGCCTGGACAACCCGGAAACCAAGGACCACCCGGACCACCTGGACAGCCTGGAGCTCCTGGTAACCCTGGACCAGACGGACAGCCTGGACAGCCCGGAAACCCAGGACAGCCCGGACAAGACGCTGCTTACTGCCCTTGCCCACCTCGCTCTGCAGCTGCTGCCCGCAAGAAGGTGGTGGTTGCAAAGATGGCCAAGCACTAAACAATGGTCAATATTTTCGTAGACATCTGTGAATGTGTTCAGTCATAGTCATTCACAGATAATAAACCATTCAGCATTGATTATGAGTTCTCTCACTTGTAACATCAGCCATGACTTATTGACAAAGTCGTAAACGCAAAAGGTTATTTCGACAAGATTCTCCCTGACAAATGTTTTGACAACTCGGACAAAACTGTGCAAAAAACTCAAATACGCTTATCACTGCAATTCACTTATCACATCAGTTCTACACGCTGTGTAATCTTGCTCGAGAAGCAAATTTGCACAAATGTCTTCACTAGAAAAGGAAAACGCTCCTCTGTTCGACAATACAGAGCAGCTAGCAAAGAAATTTGTATGAAGCTTTTGAATGGCAAATGTGATACGCATATCGAAGGTGCCAGACTTGGACAATGAGCATGTCTTTAGGCAAAACTTTCAGTTTTCTTTGTGCAGTTGTTGGGCCTTCATCCTTTATTCCGATTTTTCACCTTCTTCAAAGTTCATTAAATGAGAAGCAAATAATGATTTCCTCTAGATGTCCTCTCGCTTTCAGGAAAATCCCGAATTGCGTTTGTCTCCTTTAGGCTCTTGTTTCTTTGCAGAGGGAAGAAACAGTGATTGTTTTCCCAAAGACTGCCCTAAAGGATGATGAGCAATGGTTCCTGAAATTTATGTTCATCCAAGGTTTAATTAATTTGCCTAGTTTCGATGGTTAAATCTTTGTAAGAATAGCTCAACTAAGCCCTTTGTATTTTTGGTAAAGCACTTGGTTTTGGTCCAAAATAGATTTTCATCAATCCCGGACATACAGTGCGTCCAAAAAATGTCCCTAGTGTTCGATTTAGGATATATCTGGGGTTGAGGGGATATTATGTCATTGGGACTTCGCACCTAGTCTTCGCACCTATCTCACACCTACTTCGCAACTCTCCACCCACGTAGTGAATCAGATTCTCCTAAAACTGGGAGAAGAGGGTACGTTTCATGACATCCTGATCATCTCGACCTTTTAGCGGTATGCCAGGACGCTAATTACGATCAGTTTCCATTACAATAGAATGGAAAATCTTGGTTACAAAATATACAAGGTAAATATTTATAAGGCACTTGACTGAATTCACTTGATTGATTTTAAACATTTTTTGAGCAAAATTGTAAATATTTTTCTTATGTCTTATGCTAAAAGATTGGATAAACAGCATGTAGTATCATGCAAAGAAAACGAATACCTATTTTCCGAAATATAAGGCTCACCCATGTATAAGGCCTAGGCCTCACGCGATTACCCATGTATAAGGCCTAGGCCTCACGCGATTTTAGTCGCTGCGCGATCTACCACTGCTAGAACTCTTCATAGCTGGTCGTAAACGCACTTTACTTGGGCCAGACTTGCTGCGCCCGGCACAACTTACGAGATCTATGCGCTCGTGCGTCTGAGAACCGCGGATGCTTAATCTGTAAACATCTAACAAACTGCCAAGTCGCCGGGATGTGATGATTTCGCGAAATCGCGGGAGGTAGGCCTTGGGCCTGAGGCGCACCTGCCGCGCGAATATTAACGCGAAAGGTGCGCCGTAGGATTGTGCTTAATGTGGGCCATAGTTTGGAGGTCTACTTATCTAAGCTTTACCTGTATAGATTGCTGAATGGACGTTTCAGAGTTTTCAACATGTCAGTGCTAATTAATTTTGGATAAATTCAACGACGACTTATAATGGACGTGCACGTAAATCATCTCTATGATAGCTCAATTGGAGGTCATCGCAGTACGAGTGTTCTACAGGGTGGCCGAAAAGTATGGGCGCCATGTATGATCGTGCCCCATCGTTTGTTGGTTGGCGCAAAGAAAATTATTTTGGCTTCATAGTTTACAACAAGCGGTCGCCTAATTACCAAGAAATTATGAAGGTGTGCCCTCACCACGGAGTCGTTGCCCGCTTGGCTGAACGCGGCGAGTCCACGGCAGCTATGCCAAGGAAGCTACATACGCCTTCTAGGACGGTCCAGAAAACTATCAAACAATGGAAAGAAAAAGGAAATGTTGCTCTAAAGCCGAAAACTAATCGTCCACGAACGGTGAACTTCAGAAGAGTTCGAGGAATTATCAGAAAAAGGATTTGCAGGTACGACAAGGTCAGCCTGAACGGCATCGCGAAAAGCCTGAACATAGCACGTTCGTCGGTCCAAGTATTATGAAAGATGAATTGGGACTTCGCAGCCACCAAATGCTCACTGGACACCAACTGACCAGTGCAGGAGAAGCGAGTCGTTTGGAAAAATGCAGGAAACTGTTGGAATTTTTTGAGGTGCGCCGCCTTGAGGATGTCCTGCTTACGGATGAGGAAATGTTTGCCACTGAAGGGTGTTGGAATCCTCAGAATGACCGTCAGCTCTTCAGTCCGAAGGTTAAAAAGTCACGAAAGCGGAAAATTACCAAAAAGTCACTTTTCCTCCCAGTCAGATGGTCTGGGCAGAAATCTCAGCAAATTGGAAGACGCCGCTTGTTTTCATGCCGAAAAATGTCAACATCAACGCCACTTTGTACCAAAATGAAGTTTCAGAAAAGCCCTTTCGTGGAAAAGAAATCATCCACAAATGATATTCCAGCAAGACTGGGCACCGGAGCGTTTAGCGATTTCGACACTAAGGTGTTTTTCAGCTAATCTACATGAATACCTGCCCAAGGATCTTTGGCCGCCCAACAGTTCAGACTTGAACCCGATAGACTTCTTCGCGTGGAGTATGCTTGAGAACAGTCTGGAGGGAAAGAATATTACAAGTCTGGAGCACCTGCGCAACGAATTGGAAGGTTCTTGGGCGAAGATTGATACCGATTACCTGTGCGGCACGGCCGCCTTGAAGACAAGACTCCGGGCCTGCTTTAGGGTCAGAGGAGTCCATTTCGAATAACTCCTTGGGATGTCAATATTCAAGCTTCACTTGTGACAGAGACATAATAAAAATCAGTATTTAATGTTTAATGACAGATTTACATTTGTGGATGTAACGCCCATACTTTTCGGCCACCCTGTAGTTTTCTGTTTTGCAGAATATGAAGATCAAAGCGCAGCTTGATTTACAATTTACAAAGCAATTCACAAAGGATTGACCACAAAAGATTCAACAAAGGGCAAGGGCACAAAAGTGTAGCGAAAAATTAATATCGCTGCTTTTGCGAATTCGAACGTCGCGCATCGCCTGCGTCATCGCGAATCTGCCCGCGCGGGTCACAGAAATGCGTCTTATGTTCCGGAAAATAGGTCTTTTCGACTCAGGAATTAGTGAGAGATTTCATAAGGAGAATTTGTCATTGCTACGAATTTTGGGCTGAGTTTTAGCCTGTTTTTATGTGAGAATGAAGTTGAAGCCAAGGCAAGGAAGGCATTTGATTTAGCATTTCATATTTCTCGCAACTGCATGCTCCCTATATCAAAAGGACTCTATTCGGGAAGCCAGCGACTACCAAATTTGCTATAGGACCTTTTATTAAATCGTTGCCAAAACATCAGGATGGTATGGAGCAATCGTGTCTAGTTCTCACAGTACTTAAGACCAGACGCTTTCCAAACGGCCTGTATATGCTTAGTCATTGTTTTCATGCATTTTCATCAATCGAACTTGATGTGCTTGTATGGACTCATCTACAATTGCTCATTACTCGTATGCAGGATAACTCATTGAGTACTCTTTCAGGCCTAAGGCATACTTCAGACGCTTTCTAAACGGCCCGTATATGCTTAGTCCTCAGTCGTCTTCAGCAACCCTGTAGTTACGATTTTCGATCGCTGCGACTAGACTGCCTGGGCGTTCACTGCGTGAAAATTGCTCTCGTTTGATTACCGGACATATCCAAAGCGATTTCGTAGACGCTCACACACCACACCGTATTATACGCCTTTCGAAAAATTCGCGCTAAATTGTCTAGAGTGCATTTATTCAAGGAAATACGAACAGAATGTGGCGCCATATGCTTCCAGAAAACATTACATCGAGGAAGAATATGGATTCACACTTATCCTAGTATTTACCAACGTTTTTCTACCGGCGCAAATTAGCACCTGCATAAAATCGATTACTAATTCATGAATTTTTGAGTTCATTCTTTCAATCATTGGTAGGTACATACCTTACTTCGTTGCAATAAGGCCATGCTTTCGGCTCTGCAAAAAGCTCTGTGTAGGCATATTTCAACAACGGTTGCTGCGCGAGCTCTTGTATGCCATTCTGCAAACGAATACACATATATGCCTGAGCAACCGAGATTGCATATCTATTCTGCTTCAGAAATTATAGCAAGAACATTCGAGATTCGGTCACCCTTTACTTATTTGTAAACAAGAACAGAAGAAGATTAGTGCATTGCGAGAAAAGTAAATGGTAACACAGACGGTGAGGTGACATATGGGGAGCATTCTATACTATGTATTTCGCATGTGTTGTTTTCAATGACAAATAGTATGGAATGTTCGATGAACATCCTTCTCTCATGCAGAGAGGAGGCGCTTGTATGAAATGGTATAGTTTTAAGGGATTTGCATTTGCAAGAAGATACAAAACATCTCACAAAAAGAAGCCATTCGAGCTTCGCCAATCGCTGGTACAGACCTAGCGACGGCGACATCGCTGGGTTTCAGCGAAGTCGCAACGATATCCCCGCTGAGGGTATGCCCGCCCAAAAAGGGCCTAAAACATACCTTCCTGCGATTCGTCGCAGCTCCAATATAATACAGACGCGGCGCGTCCATACAGATGGGCGCGCATGCGCTGCATACTTGGAACATGTGTCCGGGTTGGAAATCGCGACGCGACTGGAATCTAAGGAGGTATGCCTTGGGCCTTTGGCCATGGGCCTACCTCACGCGATTCCGTCGCGATTTAGCAAAACTCCAATTGTTCATGACCCATCTTAAGGTATTCTTAAATGTACGAAAGATAGGGTATTCTATTAACCTACAGTCATACATGCTGGGCATTTGTGGTCTGCCAGTATTGAATTGAAAGACATCTAGCAAATTGCCAGATCGTTGCAACCACGTGAAGTATGCCCACGGCCTTACTCTGCCTATTATGTTTATACAATTGCTTGTTTCAAGTTGACTACGATCCAATCACTCAGTTTCATTCAATTTATACCAGATAGGTAAGCTTTGGCGTCTACTCTTCTCCTTGGATGAAGCTTCAGGCGACGAAGGCGCCTTAGTCAAACAATGCAATGTAACTAAGATTTGGAGAGAAAGTCAAAGTGTTATAGTGGAGAAGAAAAAGCATAGCACAGCATAGCACCGCACATGCCTGAGAAGCTAAGAAAATATGTAGTTGACACCTTCTTTGTAGTTTTCCCATATGCTTATGTTCTATTCAAACTTGCACTTTCAAAGAGAAAGTGAAAGCAAGTAAAATCAATCAATGAGACAGAAACGTAAGGCATATGAATTGATCTTAAGGGGATTAGTTTGTGCACATTTCTTTTTTGTGTAAGATATTGGTGCCCCTCCTCCGCTTCGCAGAGACTCGCACCTGTTTTAATCTCCGTATGTTTTTCTCGTGCTCACATAATGATGACTCTCCATACTAGGAATTTACTTTGTTTCAACTTGACAGTCACTGCTAGAACAATAACCATTGCGCGCTACACCTCTAATCAAAAATTTTTCATTTGAGTAGAAACGCGAAATATTGACGATCTTTTTATAACTATTTTTCGCAAAAAGTACAAGTTTTTTTTTGATAGCTGAGGTTGAAGCCCATAGCTTGAAAACTTACTTGTCAGACAAAACCATGACTTTCCAAAAAGTTCAGTCACCGATTCAGTTTTGCGATCTGAGAGCTGCATGGATCGTGATCATTTTTGAGATCCGCCCTTAGTATCGGCTCATTTGCATGATGGACATACATACTTGTAGCGTACGTCATGCAAATATTTGGCGCGGGAATTCGTCTGCAACTCGCTGTGTAAATCTGTGAGAGACGAACATACACACACGCGCAAAAAACAGACTTATGAGCTTTATTATAAGTAATGTACAACAATTGAGAGTAGTAGTAGACTCGGAATACAGTTTTTGCTGAACAGATTATGCTAATCTCTTACGATATCCACGTCGAGAAGTCCCATTTTACGCAATTTTAGTATGAGAGGAGATTCTCTAAAATCAAAGTCTTCAGGAATCTTCAAAGAATCAAATTTATTTTCTGCAAAAAAGTAGTAAGAAAAAGAAGAAATCTTACAGTGCCAATCGTCGTATTGATTTTTCAGGTACTTCTGATACATCCTTACCCTTTCCGCCAACTTATACGCTTCAGAAAGCATTTTCGCTCGGCTGTGGTGGCACGATTTTGTTACCACAAGAATGGAATAAAAGCCTTGCTTACAGTCTTTGCTCTTCGCGCTCTTTCGTACGGCGAAGATCTTCTTTTTCTTCTTCCCTTGTAAAAGGCCAAACGATCAGAACAATTGCATTGGTTTCCTTCTCCACATACTTGTGAATTGCCTGAAGAACACCACATTGCACAAAAAATTTTATTATCGAACGACCAGTCATGCTTCAACGTTGAAGAATAACGCTGAGTGCAAATTCACACGATACCTCGCAGGCTTCACTCAGCGAGAGCGCGGAAACCGTCAATTCTTGATTATTTTTATCAAAATAGAAAAAAGTGGAATATAGCAACCATTTCTACCAGGAAGATGTGACTAATGTCATTGGCACATCCATTTTTGTAAAAGAATGAAAACTATGGCCCTACCTAATGTCATTTTCCTATGATATTAAGTTGATGCTAAAATAATGGCCGATTTTCCAAGACTTTTTTCAAGGTAACTTTTTTCCATCAGAATATCTTCTTTGAAATACATGTGCCATACCACTGATAAGCTGTTCACATGCTCCATCCAATGTGGTCAATGCGGCTTCCACACTCATCTGTTATAAAGTTACTGAACTTTGAATGATCGCATCCAAATTCAGAATTTAGCATTCACTTTTTTGGTCAGAATTCAAGAGCGCATGAGCGGCGCTTCTTCAGAAATTTAGCTATTGTATGTAATAGAAGTTGTCTATATTATGCATGCTTGACTGTATTTTTTGAAGTTATCCAAACTGAGATATCGGAGTCTCGACATCAGCCGTCATTTTATAACCCATAAAATTCTTTTGAAGTTTAAGATGTGATGTAAATGAATCTGCGCTATAGTGCGAAAGTCTGCTGCTTCTGATGGTTTTTACCGCACTACAAATTTGGACTTTTTAGAAAGTTATAGCACGTCAAATTGAGAATTCCCAAAACAGCCATTATTTTTGCATCAACCTAATAGTATGTTAAGACCACGCTTTCCCCTGCTTAGATAACCTCCTGCTCGATTGTTCCCATCAATGACCTAACGTCAGCACCAGTAATATAAGCGGCGTTCATTTCGGTAAGGAGTATGTGGGAATGACTCCTCCATACACATCTGAACCCGAACTATTGCCATCGTGTCCCTATGCCAAAGTACAGTCGAGTAGATTTAGCGGTAAATATAGTGTGCTTGCACAGAAGGTGAAATGCGGTAAAATTGGCGCGTGAAGAAATAGTTTCGACTGTGACGCCGGCCAATTGCGCGCGCAAGATACCCGCGCTACTACATGGCTACTTGTTCACGCGCAAATTTCACCGCATTTCA